ATTTATTTCATGCACACTTACGAACTCAATTTAAAATCAACTTCTTCACCAAATTCAATATATAATTCGAAAAGAATAAATTACACATATAACCCTTATGTCAATTAAGCTTTTGAATTTTTTTTTATGTTAATTGAACTCTTAAACTTTCTAATTGTGTCAATTGAGACCTTCTATTCTGTCTGCCTTCATTAGATTTTCTAACAGAAAGTGGTGAAGTGTGTCAATCATGTGACACAAAAGGTTGAAATAAACTATATATATGACCCTTAAATTATAATTCTTGTGTCAATTAAGTTATTGAACTTTTTTCGTTTGTTAATTGAGTTCCTGAACTATCTAATTGTGTCAATTGAGTCATTTTGCCTTTTTATGCAATATAGTCACGTGAGTGACATATTTTAACGAAGGCAAATAGAATAATTCAATTGACAAAAAAAAAATTAAGGGTTTAATTGACACAAATGTCATAATTTGAGAACAATATATGTAATTTCCTCATTCAAAAAAGATGAATGGCGAAGGACTTACCCAATCGTGGCATGAAAGCATGAAGTGATCAGCACCCTGAGTTCGATTCCAGAAAGGGTGTTTTGTGGAGATGACACTCACATAATCATCCACAAACTCTTTGAGAGGAGACACGTTGTAAGAGTTAGGCTTGTAGAAGTACTTTACCATCCAAACGACGCTGAAGGGCATGAAGTAAACGTGAGAAAAGTGAGGATCTCTTGTCCTGAACCTATTACTACCGTGCTCCATCTCGTGTATAAATCTACCCTCGATTGTGTATATGCTCTTGCAGGGCCCATCATGTACGATTGGTGGGTCCCCTTCTTCGTACACGTATACCTTGAACCTCTTCTCCATTTCCATATAACTCCTGCCAAGTTTTTCAAAAGAAGGATATATTAATCGTTTCATTAATATAATATACCAATATGGTATGAGCAAATGAGCAATCATATTTCTCACTTAAAATACGAACTTGGTTTATTGAGTAATCACTATGAGTTTCAATATTTGTTAGAACCCAATATCTATTCACTAGTTGTAATCGATTAGAGCAGGTCAATATTTTAGGTGAAAATAGTATTTTTCAAATGATATTAGAATATGAAATGATTATTTGGGAAAGGGGATGAATCAGGAAAATGAAAAGTTGTTATTGCCATCTCTAGTGTCTAGTTTGCACTCAATAACTAGAAGTTTAAGAGCACTAAATAAGATAGGATATAATATGACATTAAGACATGGAAGATTGGATATGAAACTGACTATTTTGGGCACTTTACAAATTAAAGGGATGAAACTGTCAAAGTCATTATCGCCATTTATGTTGTGTAGTTTGCACTCAATAACAGGAAGTTGAAGAGCACTTTAAATACATAGTATATACAAATGACATTGAAGCATGGAAGTGACCATTTTGGGCACTTCAGAAACAGAAGTAAAACTGTAAAGTCATTATAGCCGTCTATAACGTGGAGTAGTGTTATATATCTTAAATTTGTAATTCAAATTTGTATTTCAAATCAAGAAGAATTATTTGATTAGTAGGTTTCATCAACTTTTTTAAATGGAATTCACTGATCCAATAGTCCTCCTTGATTTGGAATGCAAATTTGGGATACATATCACTATTCTTATATGTGTAGTTTTCATTCAATAACAAAAAGTTTATAAGCCTTGGAAGCCTAACAGTTACATGATAACAATTATCAGTAGTGGTAAGGTTAAGTTCATTGTGTAACTTACACTTCCTAGGAACCTTTAGATATGAATGGATTAGTAATCATTGGTGATTCGTTGTTGTTTTAATAAATCGTGAGATGATTAAAAGAGCAAAAGCTTTTCAGGTTAAGAACTCTAAAAAATGCAAGATCAACTCATTCCAACTTGCAAAATTGTTTTATGAGGCTAACATGGTAAACATATAATTTTAATATTAAAATGAATAAAAGTGGGACAAAAAAAACATCAGTGCCACATCATGGAATTCCAAATTTTTATCTTATTTTTCAATCAGTCCAACTAACATTGTCTTATTCGTTTTTGTTGTTTGAATCGTACATTACATGGTCATACTAATAGACTTTTTTATATCTCTGGGAATGCACGTGTGAACATATAATAATGTGTTTCATAGGCTATTAAGTATTAATCGAGTTGCTTTCTGTTTAAGTTGAAGGGCATTCCTGTCTTTTCACTATTCAAGGCTGGTGTAGCAATGAGTACCATGCCATTAGCATGGCTTTTTATTTCTCCTCCATAAGAAGAGTGGAGGGAACAATGAGTGAGTGCGCACTGGGCACACCAGGCGTCAATTAGAAGGCTTCCAAGTCTTACAATTAGAAGTCTTCCAAGTCTTTGTATTGCTGAAGTTCAAGAATTCAAATCTTCTTAATGCTAATCTAATTTATTATAATTTTTAAATTAATTATGAATTCTATTAAATATTAAAATTTAGTGTTGATCTAATAATTCTATTGAAATCACGTCATTATGCCAACAAATTAAGTTAAAATTTTAAAGTCAAATAATATTATTCTTAATTTTTTTACACTATAAAAAAAAAAAAAAAAAAAAAGCTTACTGATAAAATGAGCCGGGGTTACGGAATATTTCAGCGGAGACAATACGGCGGATCGCCGATAGGTTCTGGCTTGATCTTGAAGCTGCTTTCCGAATCGCGGCTCGTGCCCGGGCCAGTCCTTGCTCCAGTTTTTGGTCTTTTCTCTGCAACTGGAATATCAAATTTCTTGCAATTAATTACGTACTTTCTAATTCCAAAACGAGAGAGAGAGAGAGAGAGAGAGAGAGAGAGAGAGAGAGAGAGAACATTATGCTGTCATTACTCCATGTAAAGATCATCCGAAGCTTAAGTAAGCAAAACAAATACATACAGTACTGTAAAAAACAAATATACATACATGAGGCAGAGCGGAGTTATTGCTCGCAATGACTGTTACGTTTGGAGAGTGACTATCGGCGGCGAAGGAAGCAGCTCGGAATCCACGCAGTGCAGTTGTAATCGCCGTCGTCTGCAACTCGATGGCCTGTATTTTATGCTCCGATTTCGAACCAGTAGTGAATTGGATCAACGAAACGAAGTCGACTGAATTAACAATGAACACGACCGTGATCGACAATACAAACACTGAACACAGCACCAAAACAGAGACTGATCCTTTTCCATTACTAGTCTTCATCATTGAATACAAAGACACTCTCTCTCTCTCTTCGAGAATCGCTCCCTCTGCGCTTTCTCTCTGTGGAATTTATCGGAAAGCGGTCTGGGAATAGAAAGGGAAGGCGGGGATTGGCAGAGATGGCCACTCCCTCCCTTTCTAACTCTGAAATTTATGGCGTAAACAAGGCTTTAAGCGTGACGCTGTGAACCCATTGACTTTACGATTCTGTCCCTCCTAAGCAATTTCTTTTTAACTAAATTTCTAAGCAATTTCTTTTTAACTAAATTTCTAAGCAATTTCTTTTTAACTTGTCGAGAAATTGATATTTGTAGAAAGGTTACATTGTTTCAAATCTCAATAATATCTATAATTAATCAATTCTATGATAAAATTTGTAATTTTTTTTTATTTTTAAATCTTGTTGAGAAATTGATATATTTGTGAGGGTATAAATGCTTTTGGGTTAGCATAACTTATCATTTACATTTATTCATATGTTATTATATAATAATTTTAAAAAATAAGAGAAAGTATATTAAATAAGAGAGATATTATATGTGTTTAATGTATATTGGGCTTGTTTGGTTGTCATATTAAAATTAGATGGATTAGATAAAATAATACAGTCTAATACAATACAGATGAATTAAAAACAATGTTAAATATAATATTAGAATAATATGTAAGTTTATCTAGTGTTTGACAACACACAATATAAACTTTGGATAGTAATTATTTAATCTAATAAGTTGTTTGGTTAGAGAGTTATTTCATCGTATTAATGTTGAATTAACAAAAATACTTTTAATCAGTGTTTGTTATATTTATGACAACTTGAATTTATCACTTTGAGGGTTATAATAGTAAATGTGTAGAATAATACGTTTGAGCTATATTATAATACCACATCTTTTGGTGGTATTAAAGAACCTCCATAATACAGGTATATCGTATAAAAATATACGATAAATATATATTTTTGAAATTAATACCGTATCAAATTTGCTTACCAAATAAAATATTAGGCCTAATTAAATAAAAAATAATACAATCTAATATTTAATTCCCTCATAATACGTCTACCAAACGAACTCATAGTGAATTAATGAATCAAACATCTGTTTTACTTAGTTTCATAACAAAAACACTTGTTTTAGTAGATTACGGAAACAAGTGGACCATTATTGAATGCCCTCCTCCATACAGAAGGCCACATAATTGGCTATTTATGATATTGTAACCCTTTATCAAATTAGAAAGATGAACCAGAATTTCCAAAATAAAAAATAAAAAACAAATTCCTAATTGGACTAGTACACAAAATCAATCAAAATTTTCTTCAAAAAATATGAAAAATATGCTAAAAAAAAAAGACATTCGTTGACACCATCTCACTCGAATGTGCATTTGCTGATTATCGAAATAGCTCGTTAGAGTAAAACTCAAGAGAGTATAGAGTAAGTGTGTTGCATCAAATTGACACCAACTCATTTAATGGCCACAATGTAATTCGGTGATTTAATCTCTTTTTTTGGTCAATCGCTATTATAAGGAGGTGGATGACGAGATTCAAACCTGCAACCTTAAAGTTCAACAATGAAACAGTGGTCGTTAAACCAACCTCTAACTTTCGGTGAGCCGATCTCTGCAAGTCTATTTTAAGTCTAACAATGCAAATGAAAAATTTTCACCTTTCATTCATAAGAAAGGTAAACAACACGTATTAATGGAAGATGAAATTTCCCAATATTGTACACTACACCTTATAAAAGCATCATCTAGCAAAATTTCAATTACATAACAATGCTACATCAATGGTAGCCTCACATTAAGCCTCCTTAGCCATACTGAATGAAGCACCATCTGCATAAAATCATAGGGCCGGGCCGGCCGATATAGCATAAAATGTCGTTGCACCTGCAAAATCAGTTTCTGCTTTTTCAAGTACTCATCATTTGAAACCCCTTGCAAGATTTTCTTGATCTCCGGTATCCTCGCCACCGGAATATGAATTGAAAACTTATTCCAATCAAGAACATCACTAAATGGCAGCACATAGCCATCGGAAACAATCACCGGGACACAACCTGCGTATATAGATTCAACAACTCTAGGACTAGCTACTTCATACCCACTAGGGCATAGGCAGAACTTTGTTTTACCCATTAATTCAAAGTAATTTTCGTTCTTTGGGAGGTACTCGTGGATTCGGACTTCATCGTCTTTATCGTACCAGTGTTGGAATAATATTTTTCTTACGTAGCCGTGATTGCCACCGGCAAAAAATGCTAGGTTAGAACGATGTTTAGGGGCTTGGCCGAGACGAGGTGGCCCGAGTCCCTTGCCAGGGATTTTGATTTCGGGCAAGGAGACATCTCTAGCCGGTTGGAAACCCTCAGAAGCGTTGGCATTGCAAAGAACTCTGATGAGGTTCTTGAATAACTTAGGGTTGGCAGTGGAAACATCTGGTCCCTGAAATGTCACATGGAAGAGGGATTTAGAAAATAAAAAGGAATTATGCATTTATGCCTATAGCACTAAAACCTTCATATTAATCAGGAATAATTACACTTTGACCCATTCAATTATGCTTTTTATCTCATTGTCACTCAATTGTCCTGTTTCTTGATTGCATTACTAAATTATGGTTGTTTGATCGCAAATTGTCTCATACCTGTACCCAAATTTGAGTAAAAAATGGATAAAAAATTTAAATTGGTATAAACCCCTTGAATGAATAAACCTATTTTTATAGTCAAATCTTTTAAAAAATGCTCGACTTATCAAAAACTCTTTTCTCTTATTATTTTTCTCCAAAAGTCTGGTTCATCCCAATTCCCATGAGACCTGCAAGCGACCACCACCACACAGCCCACTTCAATGCAAAAACACCGAAAGACCAGTGAAGGGGAAGACGACGACACCACTGTTTGCAAGTTGTTTGTTTGGTTTGATGACTCCGACTCCAATCACCGATGACCAGCAAAAGAAGAGTGAATCATTTGAGGATATTTGACCGTTATGTTTTGAGTATTGTATTTAGAACGCCTTTGATTTGAATTTACAAAAAAAATTTCTTCATTGGATACGATTTATGAGCTTGGAAATTTTTTTTGTACATTTTTAACCAAATCTAAATTTAAATACAAAAAATGGTCGGGGCTGAAGTTGGCCAAAGATAATTAATCACGATCAAAAGACATGAACTTTATAAAAATACATACACAAATAAAGGGAAACAAAAAAGTCGTACCCAGTCATGGCAGGCAACGAAGAAATGATCAGCCCCACTGCTTCTGTTCCAGTAAGGGTACTTGTGCGATATAACACCAATGTAATCGGTAACAACATTCTGGAGGCGGCCACGATGATAATCGAGGTGGGGTCGGTAGAGGTAACGTCGAATGTTGGCGATGCTGACAGGGACGAAGAAGGCCAGGGCTTGGTCAGGGTGGCGAGCCAGGTATGGGTTCTTCCCACTTTCCAGTTCAGCGATGAACTGCCCTTCAATGGAGTAGATGTCCTTCATTGGTCCGGTGTGGAACAGTGGTGGCTCTCCTTCCTTGTATACCCACACTTTGAATCTCTTCTCCATCTCTATGTAACTCCTAATGGAATGCACCAGATGAGGTCTTATCATTATATGTATGGCATAAATCATTTTAGTTATCAAGTTTTTTGTGGAACTGTCTAAATTTGTTGTAGATTTAGTATACATAACTTGTCGAAAGTTGTACATTCTCAAAAACTGCAAACACTCGTCATTTTGTCAATTTTTATTTTATTTTTTTAAAAATCAACTTATGTGACTTACATTACAGTTTTTCATTAGATGCGTAGATGGTGTGTTTAACTCATACAAAAATTTCTGTCATTGTGTTTACATTTCTTTTAAACTTTTGACGATAACGTAAATTTAGAATGCACGTAATCATTTATGAACTACATACACAAGGTCAATCGGCATGTTTCTTGCAAGACTCAAATTTAAAAACTCGAGATAATAATCAATACTTTTTCATTCAAACTATATTGACAGTGAAGGTTGGCTACAAGCATTGCAAATTGAAGAGCAATACCACCGATCCTTGTAGCCCAGTGGTGTCACTGGCTACCCTGTATGTGGGTTGTCAATAATCAAGTCTTAGATCAAGCGGTTAAGCTTTACCAAAAACAAGACAAGGCTCGAGTGACTTTTTCTTTTGGGATTCCTGTTGTGTCCTATTTCAGGCTTCCCGTCATCTGTTCATCTACTATAGATGAATTATCCGAAACATAGAGTAATTGATCATTCACTTTAATAGTGATCTATCGATGTGTATGAGATAAAAAACTCAGAATTAGTAGGATGGGTCATTGGAGTAGGATTGGGTAAGATTGGTAACTTTCGATACCACAAACTAATTTGATATTAAGTTTGTCTAAAATCATCTTGTGGGGGTGTAATTTTAACTAGTTTGGGTCATAATTGGATTCATTGACAAAGAAATTTAATCAATGGGTCATGTATATGCTAACCCCAACTTCAGGATTTTTTTAGACACCAGGACACAAATTCCACTTGATTTGACAAATTTGTCACGCAACCCATGTATCTAACATCAAATCAAAATGAAATTATCAAGTATAACTTTCATATTAAAGATTCCAGTCATAAAATAAGTTGCCCAGTCAAAATTAGATTGTTTATGAGTTAAGGCAATTATGTACCAAACAAATTAGAAAAGTAATGAGACGTACACCATGTTCCCTAGGTTGAGAGAACGAGGATATAACGATTGTGACAGCTATGCCAGCTAAAAATTCAAACCTAGTACATAGATCCATCCCATGTCTAATAACTAAGAATTGCCACTATTTTTGAGTAAAGAGTAAGGCTACCCGTTTGGTATACTTTCGCAAGTCTTAACTCATCAAACTACCATTGTGTAGAATGAATGGTTCACACAGATCTTTGAGCCATTCGTATTAACCCATGCAGTGAAATAGTCACTTTTTGATTGTCATAAATCAATGCCATCCAAGTTATGGGCAATCTGAATGGCTAAAAGATCTATTTGACTTTCGATTTTTTTTTCTTTTTTTTTAATGTACTGGTTTGAATTTGAATTCACTTGATTCATTGTTCGGTTCTTCATATGTTCCAGGTGATATGCATGATTGTCATATTAGAATTAGAACCTCGCAATTAGAAATTTTAAACACAAATTAATTTTGATTGGTGAAATGTAAATGATGTAATGTAGAACGAGTAATAACAAATTTCATAAAAAAACACATATTGCTCATATTAAGGGACAATGAAATAGAAAATGCCAAGTGAACGGGCAACAAGGTCATGCGGCCCAAAGAGCAGAGAATTGAGTAAAAGTGGTGCTGTTTGAGTAGATGAGTTGTCTTTGACTAAACTCGGAGAGATGATTAGACAAATAAGACGTACACCAATAAAGTAATACTAAAAATAGGGACTTTCGTGGGGACTATTGTTGTTGAACTTTGTAACTTGTATTTTTAGATTGTCAACTAATCAAACCTTATATTCTACATCAATTGTACAACTTGTGTCTCTGGGCTTATAAACTTGCATCTATCCTTTCATAAGTTTGGGTTTTTTGGAGTGAATCGTGGACTATGAGTTTATAATGTTGTTTTGTGTATCAGGTGTTAAGTAAGTGAGCAACTTATGTGTTAAAAAGCTAATTAACCTGAGTGACTCATCATTGATTCACAAAACTCATAACAATGAACAGCCCATTAAACTAAGATAAAATTTCAAAAAAAATAAAAAAAACCAACAATCAACAGGTAAATTTCAGAAAAAAAAGGAGAGAGATCATAACTGATGAAAGGCATAAGGGTTTTTGTAAATTGATCCTCTGGGTATGAAACTCTCATTCTTGTGTGAAATGTATCTCTGTATTCGAACCGCTTCTTGAATGGCAGCTCTCGCTCTTGCCAAACCTTCTTCCATTCCCTCAAGATGACTAGTATTATGCACCTATAAGACAGACATGAAATTATACTCAACACCAAACTATAAACCTCATCTCTGTCACTCTAAATAAATAATTCAACATACAAAACATTGCCTATATCCACGTACAAAAAAATATTTTATTATACGAGACTCTCGAGTCTCTTCACTATGAGATTTGGTAAGGATTTGACCAACTCGGACTGTTTCAATAACGTAAAACTGCATAGATATTTTCAACTTGTGTAACATATGTGTTCAAGAATGAGTTACATTGTTCTTACTGCCGAGAGAGAGAGAGAGAGAGAGAGTGGAATACCTGTTGGTGAGAGGAAAGAGGAGGACGCAGAGAGGAGGAGAAGGAGAAGAAACGGAACTGGGTATTAAGGCAAGAGAAGAAGAGAAGGAGAAAGAGAGATGGGTATAACCACAATGAGGTGGGACTACTGATGCTGTCCATCACTGATCACTACTCGTTTTCTTCACTTCACATCTCCTGTTCTTTTCTAGGTTTCTTTTTTCTGATAGATCATGAGGCGACCCTGTGACGCTTTAGATTCTGTTTTTCTTCCTTCTTTTTTGTTTTGTTTCCCCAGTGGTTTCAATAAGTATTTGAGGTTGAATAAATAACTGAGACCCCTTGTTCTGGTATAATTCAAATACTCTTGATCTCTCTATCTGTCTGTTTGGACAGACACAAGTTTATATGGGTTCGTTTTGTTGACGTATTAAAAATACATTCATCGAATAAAATAATTTAATCTAATATAATCTCGATGGATAAAATATAATATTAATAAAATATTAGAATAATATGTTGGTGTTTGACAATACACAACATAAATGTTAAATGATAGTTATTTAATTAAATCAGCCGTTTGATTATGAAACTATTTCCTCGTATTAATGTTAAATAATACTCTCAATTAGGGGGTCAAAGTATTTGTTACGTTAATTACAACTTAGATTTTATCATTTATGAGGTTATAATAGTAAATGTATATAATAATACATTTTAGTTGGATTATAATATCATATCTCCTGGTATTATTAAAATACTTTCATAATACAAGTCTATGGTACGAAAAATATACGAAAGTATACATTTTTTATATTAATACGAAATCAAATTTATCTACCAAACAATGTATTAAACTAGATTAACTAAATAATGTATATAATAAAATAGCTAGATTGATTGTCTTGAACTTTTTGTGGCTCATATTATTTTGATTCAATGATTTTAATTGAACTCTCTCTCTCTCTCTCTCTCACATACTATTGTCTTTTTTCTTTTTTTCCCCGTGTTATTATTTATTCTATAGAATAGATGAAAATACATGTTATGCAATTAGTTATTCCATGAAACTAATTTTAAGTTTTTATATATTTGATGACATGTATATTGTCTCTTAATTACTTCTTAATATGTAAATGACACTTAATATAAATAAAATATAGCATATTGACTATAAATATCACATGAAACGAACCTTAAATTGTAAACTAATATATAATTTTATCAAAAAATTGACATTTAATTTTGTTTGATTTATATTCAACTTTGTCCAATTAATATATGTTAGAAAAATGAGATGCGAATAATAAAGTTAATGGTAGGGTGTTGTTGAATTTTTAATATAGGAGTTGAACACACTACTCAGGTAGTGGACTAGGTTGGTTAGTGTGTTTGATAGATTTTAGAAATTAGTATCTCCTCCTTGTTTGTCCCACCCTTGCGCATGTGAGAGTTTCAAGATCTCATTTTTAATTCAAAGGCAAGATAACACTAACATATATAGATATATACTCAAATACTTTTAGATATTTAATCGATGTGAGATTGAGTTCTCATATAAAAACACTCTTTTTGTTTAAAATAATTTAACAATATCAATTGAGCTTTCTCTCTCTATCTACTCTCTCTCTCTCTTTCTCTCACACATACTATTATCTTTTTTTGTTTTTGTTTTTGTTTTTCCTGTGTTGTTTTTGTTATTATTTATTCCATAAAACAGATAAAACTAAATGTTATACAATTAGATATTCCATGAAACTAATTTAAAGTTTTTATATATTTAGCGACATATATTTTGTCACTTACTTCTTAATTTATAAATAACAATTAATGTAAATAAAAAATAGCACATTGACTTTTAATATCAAATAATATTTAACACGAAATGAACATTAGATTATAAATTAATATATAATTTTATCAAAAATTGACATTTAATTTTGTTCAATTTATATTCAATTTTATTGAATTAATATCAAATTAATTTTTATTATTATAAAATTAATATTGAAACTACTTTAACCAATTTTTTGGAGTACTAAATTTTATAAATTTTTTGGGTACTAAATCAAATTTTATTAAAATTTATTTTTTTTATATTAAATTTGGAGAAAGATAATTGTAAAAATAATATAATTTTATGGAATGAAATTATCAATTTTCATTAGCAATATTGACGAAAGGAGACAAAGGGAGTCTCCGTGCAATAAATTCAAACCTCAGAGGGTCTCCGTATTATTTATAAATGTTAAGAGATGTCCGTGTAATATAGCCAAAACTCAGGAGATGTTTGTGATTTTTACCCTTTTTTTAATTAAATATTAATTTATTATTATTTTATATTAAAATTTTGAATTATTGTATTTCTAATAAAAACAATTAGAGAGTTTGTTGATAATCAAAAAAGAGATGTGTGTAGATATATTTTTGTATATATTTATATGTGGAGGATTGAACATTTGTGATTAACTTTATAATTATATTGTGTCATTTGGGATTGAACAGTGATAGTTGTGATAAATTCATGAGTTTTTATAAATGAGCAACATTTGATTGATATTATTTATTACTTAAATATTGTAAATTTTAATTGTGTTCTTTTATTATTATTTTTTTTGCTTGAAGTATTTATTGCATGAGGATAAGGTCGATTGAAAATATGGTGATTGAGTTTATAATTATATTATGTTATTAGCTTGAGTGATAATAGAGATGATAAATTTGTAAGTTTTATAAATGAACAAGATTTTATTTATTGCTTAAAGATTGTAAATTTCAATATTTTATGTTAGTATTTTTTTTTTCTAGAGACATTTGTATATAGGTGTTGTTTTGGAGAGTTTTTATATATTTTTATGACAGTTCCATTAATATGAAGGATATGATCGACGATATATTTCGAGTCATTTTAAAAGAAGAATTGATATAAATATTTTTAGACCATTATTTTTAAATTTGGGCAATTGTTTAAGTTTTTTTGTTTGGTGTATAGTGCATTTAGGTATGAGCAATGATTAGTAGTACAATATAATATTTAATCTACTTTTAATACGTTTACCAAACAAGGCTTATGGGGATGGATTAAGGGTTCTTTCACTTTCCATTGTTGTCAATTTATATTAAATTTAATGGCTTATTCTTAGATCAATAAAATAGGATATGACCAAAAAATTTAGACCAAAAATAGGAGTCCAAATGATGGGCGAGTGACATTGTGAATAAAATTTCAAATTGTATAAAATTACAGTCAAATCAGTTGTCACGCCATTTAATCTTTTATAGTGGATCCCCTTTTTATTAATGCAATACTTGCCAAAATTTTTACCAAATTATCTATACCAAAATAATGTGGGTGATCAAACTAATAAGTCGTGTCAACTTTAATAATCATTCGATGTTTATCAATATGCTACATCATTTACTATCCCATATTTTATAAAAGTTTTACTAATCAGAACATTATTCTTCATTCTCAGATAGCGACGAAGAAAGAATTGACCTAACAACGAAACTTTGGGTGATGTATACTAGTGAACGACTCTCTTCCCCACCGTGAGAAGAAAAGCTATTCCCACTAATGGAGTAAAGTTAGCAGCAAATTTAGTAATGAATGATTGAACTTGATCGAAGTTAACAAAATTTGAAATATCAAAGACACAAATTTGTCCCAGATTGTGCATGTCCAAGGTCCACTCCCATGCTGATTGTTCCAATGAATCATGAGAAAGGGTCCCTTGGTTTGGAAGTTACAGAAAAACCCGTTGTACAATTAGTTCAACTATTAGCATCTATCTTGACATTGTTCTTGGTTATGACCATTTACATCAGCATCCGGAAAAGCACCCACATCACTACAGTAAACCATTGCCGAGGACGACGTAGCACCCTACCTCATTACAACGATGATGGGATTTGATCATCACTATGACGCTTGGTTCATAATGACTGCACAGGCTAGACCAAAGACACCTGCAGTGAAAAATATAATGGGTTTATAAAATGGTTTTTTGAGTAATAGAGTGGAGGGAGGGAACAATGAGTGAGTGCGCACTGGGCACACCGTGCGTCAATTTGAAGGCTTCCAAAAGTCTTGCAAGTACAAGACTTCCAAGTCTTGCAAGACTTGGAAGTCTTCCCATAACAACTTACAAGACTTCAAGAATTTAAATCTTCCATTCCATCCCTTGAAAACAAATCCAGGAAATAGATACAGGGAATGTAATAATTGTAGTCATTTTGGGGGTGACTTAACTATGTTCAATGAAACTTCAAACTCTTACTAAAATTTAAATTAAAAAAAAAAGAGTAAAAGACATAATTTAGTATCGAGCATCTTTAGTTTTTACTTTTTTTTTTGTACTCAAATTTAAATTTAGATAAAAAATAGTTTAAAATAATGCTTCACTGCTAAATTCATACTTATATCAAATGAAAATTTTTTTTTTTAACCCAAATCAAGGGGGAGTCAAATTTATTTTCAATTTTTTAATGGTAAGATTCCACCATTATTTAAAGATCTAATGATAATACCTCCTTTTAAATTCGTGTTTATTCTCATTTAAATTTGAGAATTTTTTCCTTTAAATTTGAGTTTCTCCATTATATATGTCTATACAAAATCAAATTTTTTTACCTTTTTTTCCCCTCAAATTTGTGTAAGGATTTGGATTTCCGCTGAAGATGGTCGGAGAAACTTAAATTTAAAAGAAGAGAAACTCAAATTTAAATAAGAACAAACTCAAATTTAAAAGAGAGTAAAATATGATTATTAAGTCTTTAAAAGATAGTAAAATCTCACCAAAAAAAATTTAAATATGGATTTGAATTTCCTTTAAGTTGAATAAAAAAATGAGTCTTTTTTGATTTGAGTGAAAAAAAATGAGTCTATCTTGTTCTTGCTGGTGTTGGTGTATCATTGTATAAAATTTTT